ATGTGTGTGTCTGTCTGTCTGTCTCTCTGTCCGGGGGGCTTTCCAGGCTGAACCGCTGTTCGCTCTTCCTCCAGGCCAGACTTCTGGGAGTTCCCGGGCAGACGGCGTTTCTGTCCGGACCTATTCCTGCTAGTGTAGGCCTCCAGGTGAGGACTGTACTGGGCGACCTTGGGGTTCGGGGCGGCACGACGGATCCTCACAGCTGCACGTACTGCTCGGCGTCAATGCAGGTGACCTCATTCGGGCGGAAGAATCTTTCGGAGGCTCTGTTCCCCTCCCCTGCCCACAGTATGGTCTCGCCGGGGTGAGCGTGCTGCGAAGCTCGCGCCGCGGACTGGACCATTTGTACAGACAAGCGGGGAGTGCTCGTCCTTGCTTCACAAATGGACTGGGCCTGGACCAAACCACATGCACTGGACTGAGGGGAAAAGAAGAGAGCAGGAAGAAATCCCGCCCCAAACTTGCGCCTCCCTTTCCTCTACTTTGTAATTTATTGATCAATTTCCGATGGGAGATGGGTGCCCTATCCCCGCGGGAAGGGGGCGGGGCTTCCCTTCCGGGCCGCATGCGGGGAGAGGCTGCACCTTCTCTTCTTCCCAGTCGCGGGGCCCAAGTCTTCCTTCTTCGTCCGAAAGGAGGGGAGGGGGGACGCGCTGCTAAAAGCCTCGCCCCTTGTGCCACAGCCCTGTCCCTCCGCGTCAGGTCGCCGGTGCCTGGGGTCCGCTGCTGGCGGGTTTCCCTCTTCCTCTCCAGTGTCTCGTGTCCCTGAGGCCCTTCTGCCCCCCCGTGCTGTGGCCGTGTCCGTGCCCCGGGGGAAGTGGGCGCAGAACTGCGCTCCCCGTTCCGCTCCGGCTCCGGGGTTTGCATGGGAGAATCCTTTCCATGATGCTACTGGGCGACGTGGCATGGGGGGAGAAAGGACGGTGGGGGAGCCCTCGCCCCCGACTCTTGGTCGGCCTCCCTGCCCCAGGCGTCACTCAGTGATCACGGGTAAAGAGAACTGTTTCAAAAAGCTCCGTGTTGACTGATTTATTTAACAGAACCTAAGGAAAGCAAACCAACCATCTCGAGGACCCAGGAGTCTCAAGCCCCACCTCTCTCAGATCCAGGAGTTCAAGTCCCCAGTCCCCACCTGTGTTCCTCAGTGCCCAGAGAATCCAGATCCATCCCCCCCAGACAATGTGGTTTCGGGGAGCACATTTATTCAGAGAAATAAATAGGGCTCGTGGAAAGGGGTTGGGAGACCAGGGAGATGTGTCTGCGCGGCAGCCACGAGCCTGGGTCAGTGTTCCGGAGTTTCCAGCATGTCTGCCAGGGCTCTGGAGAGAAGGACGCAGAGGTTAGACAGCCGAGGTGTCCAAAGCTCACCCCAGGGCGCTTGGAGATCATTAACTTGCCCATTTTCACCAAGGGGGAAATAGTCTCAGGGTCGTCCAATAATTCATAGTGGGACAGCACCTTTCCAAACAGGGCCCTTAAACTTCCCCCTCCACGCACTTACTGGTACAGAGACGAGGAGAAATAGTCGACGTAGCTTCCTGTGGGAAAGAAGAGGCTTGAGGGGTACTCCACGGGTGGAATTAGGGGGCGACTTTTCACTCAATCTGGGATCAGGACTAGCTCCGCCTCCTTTTCCTGATTTCTTCCTCCCTCAAAGAATTCTTCTATTGAGACTCCTTCAAAGGTCCTACTCCTTCCTCCTTGCTCTAGGTGCTTTTCTCTAGTAGCCCCACCCTCCCTGCCCTGTCCTTCGAATTCCAGTTGCCTTGGCCCCGGCCTCTCGGTTCTAGGCCCACCCCTCAACCCTCCAGCCAAGTCTAACCTCTTAGGCTTTGGCACCTATCCCCAACCTTCCCGCTGTCCAGGCCCCGCCCCTCCATGTTCCTCCGGTTCCAGCCTCAGATTCTCGGCCCTGGCCACGCCCCACAACCTTCCGGGCCCGACCCTCAGGTTGGCCCCGCCTCCACACCAGGCCCCCCCCCCTTCGTCACGTTTTTCCTCGGCCCCGCCCAAGCTCACCTGGAGTGCAGACCGTTTCGCAGACCAGCGGGCAGAGGTAGCAGAACTGGCAGTGCTGAGGGCGTGGACGGGGAGAGAGAAAAGGCGGTCGGACGTGGTCTGGGGCGGAGTCAGGATGGGCCGGGGGCCGTACAGAGGCTGGAGGCTAGCTAGGTGGACGTTAAGGCTGAGGCAGGATCGGGTTTGGAGTCAAGACTACATCAGGGTAAGGCGGGTCAGTTTAAGGGCAGAGGCCAGAAACGGGCTGGAGGTGCCCAGATGGTCCCGGGCCATTCTGAAGCCTGGTGGGTTCTTGAATCTCAGGGAAGTCTCACCTGGCACTGGTCGCAGTGCTCTCCCATGTTCTCCTCGTCACAGTGACAGTGCTCACATTCAGTGCATCGCTGGGGACCAGAAGATCCTGGTTAGATAGAAACTCTAACCCCATTTAGGAGCCACCTGCCAGTCCTCCAGCCTGCCCCCTGGACATATCTCCAACACCTCACCCTCATTATCTTCAACATAACTCAGTATTTTCCTCCGACCTGCTTTTCACTCACCTTGTTTCCCTATTGGAGGGCGCTACCACGTTCCCTGATCACTGTGGGCTGAAACTTCGGGTACTCTCCTCACCCTCTCCCTCCCTATTCTCCTCACAGTCTGTCAGTCTCCAGTCCTGTCCTGCCTCCCCTGGCTCCACCTTGCACCCTTCTCTCTGTCCCCACATCCACAAGTGCAGCTCAGGCCTCCCTCTCTTTCCTGGACCGTTGCCCCAGCCTCCTCCCCAGTCTCCTGGCCTCCAGTCTCTCCCCAACGTCGCCCCCGAAGTATCTTTGTTCACTGAGAACTATCTCTGACCCTCCTTTGCTCAGAGCCCTCCCAAGGCACACCACAGCCCTGGAACAAATTCTAGTAACAGCTTGTTGGATGGATCTGGGTTGGGGACATACATTGCAGAAGGAGCAGTAGCCACACAGGGACCCTGGCTGGTAGTTCCTGTACTCCTGGGCATCCTGCGGATCTGTGGGGACAAGAGGGCAGCAGTGACCCAAGCTGACTCCACCCCTCCCACTCCCATCCAATCAGATCACTTACCCATGTCCTCACCACTCTCCTCCTCACTGGAAGCACCTCCAGACACCTCCCTTCCGGCCAGTGGGTTGGGGATGATGGTGAAGGGAAGCTTGTCTTCCTCCAGCCCTTCCTCCTCATCTTCTTCCTCCTGGTGGTCTTGGCTCAGTGGGACCCAAACCTCAGCCCTCTCTTTCCCCCTTTCTTCTGCCTCTTCTTCATCCTCTTCTTCCTCCTCCTGGCTCAGGCTGAGGCCATGACCTTCCTCCTCATCTTCCTCATCCTTCTGGTCCAGTCTGCCATAGTGGGTGCCTTCTTCTCCCTCCTCTGAACCTTCATCATCTCCTTCATGGGAGCTGTGGTCCTCTTCCTCCTCAGAATCACTGTCCCTTAAATGGCTTCTATCCTTGACCCCTATGTGTTCTGGGGGCTGGTGGCTAATCTCCTCTTTGATGGATCCTCTGTGCACAGTCCCTTCATCACTAAGGCCTTGCTGCCTGTGGCTGGGATCCTGGTAACCAAGCTTGGCAGAGATGTCTTCATCTTCCTCTGTGGAGACTCCGTGGTGGTGATGGTCAGCAGCTGCTCTTTTATACTCACCTGGGAAGTCCTCCTCCTCAGTGCTCTTGTGGCCTTGGAGTTGGTGGCTTGCAACATGGTGGCTGAACTTGACTGTGACGTCCTCCTCTTCCTCCTCCTCCTCATCTCCAAGGCCATGGTGAATATGTCTGGGAACCTGGTGCCAGTGTTCAGTGGACACAACCTCATCCTCATCTTCCTTGTCTCCGTGGCCTTGGTGTCTGTGGCTAGGGATATGATGGTGGTCATCTGAGACATCCTCATCCTCTTCCTTCCCATGGCCTTGATGTGAGTGGATCTGGTATTTGTACTCAGTGGAGACATCATCATCATCTTCTTCTTCCTCTTCTTCATGGCCTTGGTGTCTATGGCTGGGGACATGGTGGTGGTGTTCATCTGAGACATCCTCATCCTCTTCCTTCCCATGGCCTCTGTGCCTGTGGAATTGGTGTCTGTGCTCAGTGGAGATGACATCATCATCATCATCATCATCATCATCATCATCATCTTCTTCTTCTTCTTCTTCTTCTTCCTCTTCTTCATGGCCTTGGTGTCTATGGCTGGGGACATGGTGGTGGTGTTCATCTGAGACATCCTCATCCTCTTCCTTCCCACGGCCTCTGTGCCTGTGGACTTGGTGTCTGTGCTCAGTGGAGATGACATCATCATCATCATCATCATCATCATCATCATCATCTTC